TGCTAGCTGCTGACCCCGGACTTAAAAACTTTGGCCCAAAGTGAAGTATTAGCTCCGCTTCTATTTTTTCCTGATCGTCATCTTCGGATATTTCCATTACGAATGATTTCTTGATGCACCCACCAAGTTTTATTTTCCACGCGTAAAACGTCCCCAAATGCTCCTCAAGATCTTTAGGATCAGAATATTTTGCAACAGTTTCCTTAAACCCTGTCGTGAGATACTCAGTAGGAGATTCTTTGAAATCCTTTTTCGCGAGGCAAATGTATTTTTGGGCAACTACTAATCTCTCATAACGAGCTGTTTTATACTTATACGATGAAGATGAGCTGTAGTCAGCTGACAACAGCGCTCCCAGACAAAATGCTCCGTAACATCCTCCAACGTTGAATCCAGTAGCAACGTCCTTGGCAAAACTGTGACTATCGTCCAAATAGTACGACTTGCTGTGCGTGTTATCCTCCTTCATTATCTTGAAATGATTTTCATGATATTTTTTGTCCTCCATATCCAAATCTTGAGATTTCTTAAAGATTTGGTTAACATAGGACAGCAGGGACGGCTCTTTTGGATCGACTCTATAAGAAAAACGAAGTTTTGAGAGATAGCTGAACAAGTATTTATTTTCTTCGTTGTAAACCACTTCATCGTGATCGTGAATATGATCATAGATTTCCTTTACACCACCTACAACACCATTTAAAACACCCTCGAGCTTTTCTTTGTCATCAGGAGACCACCCACCACCGACCTTGAGACCACCGAAGAGGTCGCCCATATTTACTTCGGCCATTTACCTGGTAATTTCTTTTAGATTATTTATCAATGTGGGTCAACTGCTTTATCAAAATCAAGTTTCACAAAAATTCAGCCAAATGTTTCGGTATCCAGCTCACCAAAAGGTTCCACAATCGTTCAACTTCAACAATCAACATGAAATTTACAAAATTTAAAACTAGACATCCTAGATAGAGTGGATTAATTGTATTTAATTTTAAATACTACCAAAGATTGCCTCAAGATTGCATCATAGTTATTAATAAGATAAATGAGAATTGTTTTAAGTGAGCCCATCACTGACACTATAATCATACAACCAATAAAACTAAAGACACCACTGCAGGCAGACACATATTGCAGCAGCAGCACTCAGCAGCAACTGCTGACGGACAACTAAGAACCTGTCAATTTTAACTAGTTAACTAATTAACATGCTAGCTTGGGAAATGCAATCAGCTCCGACAACTAAGAACCAATCATTTCATTTACATATCCCTGACAACTAAGAACCTCTGGAGATACTTTAAACATTCCGTGTGCTGTGCAGATCCGGACAGAAATGTTTCATTGCTCGAGAGGATTAAGTTGATAGGAGTAAACAAATTTGAATCGCCAAGTCGAAGTAATTTATAACTAAGAAAACTGTGAGATGAGTTTTCTTTCTAGGCGGGGATTCAGCCGTTTTTGAGTCGGTACGTAACAGCTGCATAACAATAGTCCTCGCTCGTTCATTTGCCCTGAATGTCACAATCCTTTAGATTCAAATCTCAACTACATTGTTTAATTATCTAGAAGTTTCATTATCGTCGGTCTTGCACCGAGGGCTGAATTTGAGGAGCTAACCAATTGTTTAATCTTCCAGCTCTCAAACTTTTGATGTTTAGACTGTCTCTCATTACATCGAACCAATATAATGGATTTATTTCTTTGGTGCACAATTAGTGGTGGTATGTCAACAAACTCCGATGCGATGAGGTAAAGTCGAGACTGAAAACACAAAGACGTGAAACTTATTAAGAGACTACCGGTGCCAAACTTTGAAATTGTTGTTTTCTTGAAAACCAATAAAACTTTGAAGGAGAGCTAAGTTTGAGCTAGAATATGAAACAATTGCACTGCCACACGTGAAATGTTTATCTGATGAGGGTGGTAGTAAACTGACCACAGCTTACAAACCATGTATGATTATAATTAAACCATATCATTAACAATAGGGGGCCGACATCTTATTCTAACTAGCTAACCCAACTATAACCGTCCAAAAGCAGTCGAATAATCAATAGGCAGAACCAATCACGGTGAATATGGTACTGCAGTGGCTGATACGAGAACCAGCCCCTTTCGACCCTGGCTCACGTCCGTTATGTGAACACATGCCGAGAGATGAACTCTTCTTAATATTATACTTCATAATACACAGCTACTTACTAAACTGTCATGTGAACCCTACCACTAGGTTCTTGGTTGTCCGGCTCGAATATGGATCACATCACAAATGTCACTGATTGGGCCATGTGATGTGATAGCTGCAGGGGCCTGAATGAGGGGTCCTTAGTTGTCGGTCACCGCAGAAACCACGGTGATTTAGCATTTTGACCTACATTATGTAGGTCAAAATGCTAAATTACCGTGGTTTCTGTAGTACATATTTAGCCACTAAGTCTTGTATCGTTAAATTGAAATTGTACTAGAAAATTATGTTTTACTCTACACTCATTCCACAATCAAATAAAATTTACAAAATCAAAAGCATTATCAAGAAATTCTAATTCTAACTGGCGCTCACGAGTGGATCGGTTTTCAATAAAGTATGGTAAATGGAAAGTTATTATTCTTAAAGTTGTGTTGATATTTCAGGCATTCGTCGTCAGATCATTGTTCTATTTTCCTACATCACATGGAGTACGTTTAGACTCCTGAGAACATATGGAATGTAAGAACTAGTGTAACCCGGCCTCGCTGGCGCAGTTAGAAAGGGTAGGAGTATTTACCGGCCACTGAGTCAAAACCCGCATTAGGAATAGGTGAGCAATTCATGAACCGCTTTCCATTTTTATTTAAATCGTTTTAGAAATTAACCCTTATTAACTCCACACCACACCCGCCTATTATATTTGAAAACATGCATTAGTGGCTCTAACCATTTTCTTGATTAAGCCGCTCGGAAATTACACGCGCACAGACAGACCGACACACAGACAGACAGACACACACACAGACACACATTCTGAGATTATTGTTTAAGATGTGTAGTGACTATAAGTGTGACTGGCAATTCTCGAGAATGTGTAGTGTATGATCGATGGTTATCAAATTTATCTAAAAGGTTTGGAATATCAAATTTCCAACCTCTGATTTAATGTCAGAAAATTAACATTTTCCTAAAAGTTTTGAAATCTCCGAATATCTCAAGCGACGATCCTTTACGAACTTGAAGTCTATTCGGTCGTTTGTTGTTCACTTATCTCATGCTGTGTGAATGTAAAATTTGAACTTAATGGGAGCTGATCGATACAATTGATCACTACAAGTTAGTGTTAATCTCAACACTTATTTTACTTCGGACATTTCAACAGCCACATTGTTACACAAGTGTGTAACCAGCCAATTACAGGAAGCCGAAGGATTCAATTATACATTAGGTCAGTGACGGTTAAGGTAGTGTGTACCATACTTTCTTCGTCCGAGACTTTGCTGCAATGGGCAGCTCCTCATTTAACCCTCACACCCGATTTCTCGAGTATTTGGCTGAGTGGACTGGGGGGCTGCATAGACCACTCAGGATTCTTAGCTGAGCGTCGACGACGCTCACCCCACGGCTAGTGACAGAGTCGGGAATCGAACCTGGTGCCTCAAGCAATGCCAGGCAGATTAACCAACTGAGCCACTAAGCCGTTGAGCTGACCTCAGACTCCATTGTTAGCTAGCACAATTGGAAATATGCGGAGTTATGAAAGGCTGCATCATAGCACCCCGGTGATTCCAAATTATAATTATACATCCTGATAGTACTAGTAGAGTGCACTATATTGAGTACCTTATCGGACCTTATTTGGACGGACATTACTTGAACGGACATAATTATGAACGGACATTAATATGAACGCTAGAAGGCAATCAAAACCATCAAAAATCCTAATTTTTGTCATCTTTTTTTGACGTTTTGTTAATTTTAGCAAATGATTTTTAAATCCATTTTTCATACAGTAAGCTTATCTGCGCTGTGCAGATAAGGTACGAAGGTACCTACAGGACTAGATTAGATGCCGGCGGTCACATACTTAGGGAGATATCCCGGTTTGTCTTCTACTTTATCGAGATGGGTGGTATGGTAGAAGGTATCGTAGCTGACATAAGCCACCGAAGGTCGCCTATACCAAGTGGGGGGCTAGAGATAAAGCTTAAGCTGTACTTTAGGCATTCAAGTATCTCTCTAGTAGGGCAGTTGGGATCGTTCATTGCCCGGTACGACTACGAGTTGGACAGACAACCAGTTGTAAGAGAAAATGTGGAGGTAGAAAAAGCCGAAGATCAACTTCAAGATAGTATAGTGATCATGCAATAATGTGATATTTACAATTCTGATTGTTAAAATTTTATAATACCTTGTTTTTATTAATTTAACGATATAGTTTAGTCTAATGATAGCTATTGAAATTGACTGAAATCAAAAAGTTGTCATATTCTGGACAAAAAGTTCGAATTGAAAAATTTTTTGAAAATTCAACGGACTTTAACTTGGACGGACATTAATTGAACGGACTTTATTTGAACGGACATTAAAATGAACGCTAGGGCCTCCAGCGCTCAAGTAATGTCTGTCCAAATAAGGTCCGATAAGGTATATAGAATGCACTATATTGACGATATATACCATGTACCACATAACACATAATCGACTAAAAACCGACGACCAGTCTGGTGATTTATCTACTGGACCGAAAACGGTTCGACACGTACTGTCCGACAAGCCCTAAAGTTCGACTCTTTCGACTCTTTCGAACTAGAGCACGCTACCTGGACTTAAGTTCGACACATACTGAAGTTCAACAAAAGAACTTCGACTGTCGAACTATCAACTACCTGACAAGAGAACTGGAACTGGGTGAAAGCATCCACGGATTTATTTACCATGTAATGTTTATTGTTAAGCAGCAGCCGCTGCATGATTAATACATTTATATTATTTAATTTTTTCGGTAAAAATAAATGATCGTTTTATTAAATAATTGTTTTAATAATCGACACAAAAATGTTAAAAATGATACCAAAAATTTTGATACAAAGGATACCAAATTTATATTATCCATCGGAAATGCAATGATAAGTTTTGACTTTTAAAGTCTCTATAGCCGCTTTTGAGTTTGCACGATGTCATCGTTACGAGTCGTGATTTGTAGTTCAGCTGTTCTTCTCCTCGGCCGCAATGTTACCTTTCCTCATCAGGAGGATGGAAAGCAAAGTAGAGCACACAATAGACACCATTACCCATACCACAACCTCAAACCCACAGTAACTACTGATCAAGTAGAGTGTTGTGCATGCTACGTTGAATACCAAAGAATACAAGGCATACCCTGCCTGAGACATCTCTTTGTAAACTCGGCCTATCAAAGTGGATAGGATAACCCCGGTTGAGGAATCCCCAATTCCCAGACAAATTCCCAGAAAGAGAAAGAGAGCTGGAGAGGGAGGGAGAAGAGGGGGCTTGAGCAGGTTTCAGAGGGAACGCCACAGCTGATAACAATAGAGATAAGCCGGCGATTACTGCTATCAGCACTGCTGACTTCTTGATTCCAAACCTGGAGACCACTTTGCCTGCGATCAGAGACCCTCCAATCTCTCCTACACCCGCACAGATCCCAAACAGGGCCACGTACCGTTTATCCTGGAGGAGTCTTCCAATAAACATGGGCCCTAGAGTGGTGAATAGAGCGGGGAATACAGCACAGCTCCACATTGCCACCACCAAGTTAATCGTGCTCCATTGCAACAGATGTTTAGTGGAGTCCCAGAACCCAACTTTTTCGGACTCTCTGGTTAGATATTCCTCGTCAACTGATGGTGGCTTGATCTCACCTGCCCACTCCCCGCTTACTGAATATCTGTCCTGACCTTTGATTGGAGAACTGGCCAGTGGCTGCAGCATCGCTGACTGGAATAACTTTCCTTTCTGAGGTCTGGACTCTTGTAGTTGTAAACCAGACTTCTGTTTCGAATCTTCAACTCCAAATAGGGAAGCACTGTTGGAGGTGTCCTTGTCAGTTAGAAGGAAAGAGTTTTCAGTGCTGGTTTTGTTGCGCTTCTGAGTGCTGTTATGTACAGTATCACTCCAATCGTCCCAATTGTTGTCAGACAGATGCAAATCCGAAACCTGGGATATTTTCAGTTATGATTCCTGAACAGCTAGATGATTGTATAGTTTCAAAATAACTTTAGAGCGTACTTGAATCAATGTGCCAAGAATAAATCATTCTGTCAAGGTTTGATAATTTGACCGCAGTTTCCTACCTCAAATCGTTGTCGATGGTATCATTACTCCCTGTAGCAATGAAAAGCAATGTATTCCCCACCAAGATGCAGGACATGAAGATGGACCAGTGCAGGCCGTTATACTCTGCTAGCTTATCGTAAGGAGTGTTGTCCGTAAGGAATTTAAGGGAGGCGGCTCTCAGAATAGCACAACCCACTCCGTTTACTGCCTGGTGGGCAAGTTGAGATGTTGGTCACACAATCACGGAGTGTAGTTAATTTATACTTTTGTCAGCAAATTATCGATAAAAAATCAGGGAACTTTATAACGAAAACTGAAAGTTCCAGTTTGAAATTAAGTGACGTTACACCACTCAATATGACGTGCCGTCACACAATTTGTAATATAAGTTACCTGGAAGGTGAGAAAAACAGCAGGGATTGGGTAAAAGAGGGAAGAAGGCAGTGTTATGATGAAGATACCTCCTAGGATCAGACAGAATCTGGTGCCCAGTTTGTCTATCTGAAAATGTTAAAACTGTTGAGATAATGGGTGGACAATATGAGGACAGTGGGTTACAAGTTACCACTGTCTACAAAATCTAATATTCCAAATAGTTCACATCCCAGACGATTGTTGGTCCATGGCGGAACCATTATTTCTCACAGCAGGAGAGATGAAGCTAGTAGAGAGAACGGTAGCTACACTGGACACTGCCATTCCACTGAACAGGAGATGTGTGTCTATCCCTCCAACCCCTTTCATTGACTCTATAACTATCGGCTGAGGACAGATTTGTTTGAATTGAAGTATATCGTGAGATTGGGGTATTATTAATTATTAATTTAGCCAACTTAATTAAGTGCCAAATTTAAAGGAATTTGATTAGTAGATTGAAATTTTTCTCAAGAAAAGCCGGTGGGGAAGCGAATAAACTCATTGCAAGGATAAGGTCTTTTTTTAGTTAAGATAATATGGAATGAGCTACAATATACACACAGTAACTACTGACTACATGACTATTACTACTGACTACAGTAACTATAGTAACTACAGTAACTGCTGACTACATGACTATTACTACTGACTACAGTAACTATAGTAACTACAGTAATTACTGACTACATGACTATTACTACTGACTACATGACTATTACTACTGACTACATGACTATTTACTCACCGCGATAGCACAACTCCCAAAGTGTGCGGAGTAGATCAACATGACGGCAAAAGCGTTAACCAGCACATTGTGAAAAGCTAAGTCTTTACCTCGAGGAGGTGACAGTCTGGGGAGACATCTTTTGAGGGAGGTGATGAAGCGGGAACACAAAGTTTCCGTCATCTTGCTGTGAAAGTATAATTATAAGTAACAACAAACGTTGACCGTGATATTTCGGATGTGACGAATTTCTTATGCTAGTAGTAACAGAAGGACAAGTTTTAGTTGTTATGCAACGAGATGCTACAAAAATAGAAACGATTATAATAAAAAGAGGGGGTTTTATATATAAAAGCATATATGCTACCTTGGACACTAACGCAAGAAAGGATGTTATGAAATCCAACGTTTATCTCAAAAAATCTGGCATTATAAGCAACAGTGCCGACCCATGCATTATGAAATGAAAGTCATATCGACAAATTTCCCTTATCAGTATAATGTTTTGTAGTCTGATAAGCGAGACTCTGCTTTTTGTTAACTGTAATTTATACCTACCGTCCGACTGCCCGTTCTGATTGATTTCAGTCAGAGGACTCCTGATTCAATCTTACTGGCATACTACCATGAAGAGTTAATATTAGTAATATCTAGGTATACTGAAGCTTATCACAAATTTATCGCTAAAAAAAGAAGATAAAAAGTCCAAAATGCAAGTGAAATTCGTGTCCTTGGACGTGACTTTATTTAATTCCGTTTTTTATAAAATTTGACCAAAACTCATAATTGGGTAGAGTGGACTGCTGCCAGTGTCTCTCTTTCCCAAACAAATGGGAATGGTATTAATTTTTGAATGACCGTTCTCAAATGTAAAATGATACCGAGAATGAAATCGGTCGCTCGCTTTTCCAATCATTTACAATTGGGCACTAGTTCACGACAATCTGTCGCAAAACAGGGGTCACAGAAAACCCGTTTCCCAATACTCCTGAAAAGGTGTTTTTGCAGTCGATTTGGTCAACGTCTAGACGTCCTGCAAAATTTCAGATCTCTAACTCAATTTTAACGATAACATGGATTTTAATTTTAAGGCACCTGAATATTCAATATGGCGATTTTGGGGTGTTTACCGAATTTCGTATAACAATGCTGGCGCGTATTTTGCTCACATTTCTTAAAAATCACCACAGAACTACGTTTATTCCTGTCATCTTTGAATTAGAAATTAACCTGCTAAACGACTTCTGATGAGGCTTAATGCCAGGAAAAACAGTAAGCACATGTTTTTTAAGGGGACATACACCAAAACCTTTTTTGCCGGGACCCGGAATTTGACTTCATATTATGAAAGTATAGATTACAACTGTAAGATTTGAGGCATTGAAAAATTTTTTTGAGAGTACGCACATTCGAAAAAAAAATTATTTTCTTTTTCGAAAGTTTTGGAAATTTTGAGAAGTCTGTCACTGTAATACCGATATTTCAATCATTTTGAACGTTTTTTGGCTGTTTTTTAAACTGAACATTATTTACAATCCGTACAAGAAGCCCTGTAAAGGATTTTACAATTAAAGAATAGATGACGAAGTTACAGACCAAACAAGGTCGAGTGAAGCAAAATTTAAATTTTTGTAAAAATCAAAGTTGTATATTTTACCATTTACCCAGGTCATAAGATATCGCTTCAAAACTTCTTGTGAATGTAGCTGATGATCATATCCAACTTTTTGGAACAGGATTTCTCTCAATTTTGAGTTTGAATGTATGAAATGTAGCCTCAAAAGACTTAGTAAAATTCATCGTAAAAAAGGGCCAAACATGGCAGATTTAACCCATATTCTTCCACGGTACTTTTAAAAGTACGGTTCATAAAATGCCTATAACTCAAAAAGCATCAATTTTTTTGAAATAATTTTTACAGAATCGTAATCAGCTTGAGAAGACGAATCTTTTAGTACCAAATAGGTTATTTTAGAAGACAAATTGTCTTAAATAATTTTCTAGCTTGAACACAAGGGTCCCCCCTTGTATAAATTTTGTACAATTTGTACACATTTTTTTACAAATTTGGTGTCTTAAATTATTATAAATTTGGTACTAAAAAGATTTGTCTTCTCAAGCTGATTACGATTCTGTAAAAATTATTTCAAAAAAATTGATGCTTTTTGAGTTATAGGCATTTTAAGCCTTAAATCTGCCATGTTTGGCCCTTTTTTACGATGAATTTTACTAAGTCGTTTAAGGCCACATTTCTTTCCTTAAAACTCAAAATTGTGAGAAATCCTGTTTCAAAAAGTTGGATATGATCATCAGCTACACTCACAAGAATTTGTGAAGCGATATCTTATGACCTGGGTGAATGGTAAAATATACAACTTTGATTTTTACAAAAATTTCAATTTTGCTTCTCTCGACCTTGTTTGGTCTGTAACTTCTTCATCTATTCTTTAATTATAAAAACCTTTAAAGGGCTTCTTGTACGGATTGTAAATAATTTTCAGTTAAAAAATCAGCCAAAAAACGTTTAAAATGACTGAAATATCGGTATTACAGTGACAGACTTCTGAAAATTTCCAAAACTTTCGAAAAAGAAAATAATTTTTTTTCCGAATGTGCGTACTCTCAAAAATTTTTTTCAATGCCTCAAATCTTACAGTTGTAATCTATACTTTCATAATATGAAGTCAAATCCCGGGTCCCGGCAAAAAAGGTTTTGGTGTATGTCCCCTTAAAAGCTTCTGTTTCAAATAAATTATCGTATCATTTATATGTTTCACCCCAACACGTCGGTCAACCAATATTCGAGTCAATTGTAACTTATCCTCGTAGCATTTGGTAAAATATGATGATCTGCTGAATCAAGCCCCAGTCAAGCATATCAACTATTGACCCAATTGTGAATTGTCTATCGAATTTCTTGATTCTTAGAAGTTGACAAACTGTGCAGTGTACAATAGGTATTATAACCATTTACAGGGAGGTTCAGTAGTACACTGAAATGTAAAATAGGTACTTATTATTAGGGCTGTAATGAAGATCCTCTGTGAAGGATGTGAAATTCTAGCTGATCTGTAATACTATACTTTAAGTGTAACTTAATAGCTAGGCTAATGTAGTATCATCATAGGTACTTACTAACGAGCGCAACTGTTTTTCATCCTGCCGTGTTCTTACTTTCTACCTACCGGAACGCAGCTAATCTGAATCCAAAAACTCAGAAGCAAAAGTTCTTTTTCCGAAGTTTACTGCAGGTTACACACACCTACTCGATTACATTTTGATTCTCTTCCTTCTCGTGTTGCTGCTCCCTTGTTTTTAAGTTTATCTCATACATAATAACAGTGTTCATTGTACAATGTAACAATGTGTTACTATTCGCTATACAATATGTGTATACTGTCTAGTGTCTATAAATGTATTTAGAATGTGTAACTCTTATGAGCACTTGTTCAATGTTCCTGTTTGTTAAGATACCTTATCCTCAAAACCAAATATCCTCAAGTTATAACTTATAAGTAACCTCCCTCAAGAAAGCTCGATCTATTCAGATTGTACTAAGTCGCACATGTTAACTAATGTGAGTGTGAATGATACCTTATACAATATGCATGTGGTTATTGCACTATATTGTTTGTTTTTATAAGCTGTTGATACTAGTACATGCAGTATTCAATTAGTTGGTTATACTACTAGTACATGCAGTATTCAATTAGTTGGTTATACGATCATATTCTACCCTGCATTAATTGTTCATTTTACAATTCATTTTGCAACCCATTGGACACTTGATTAAACGACTCTTTTTATATTTATTTTACGAACAATTTTACAATCAATTTCGAATTACACGATTATTTTCACGATTAATTTTACAGTATTTATTCTGTACTTAACTTAATCCTGGACGTAACTTAATTCTGTACGTAACTGTGAAGTTATTGCAGTTTTGTTAACGTTTAAGTGAAATCTGATCTCGCAGACCTTCTATATATAGTTCCGATAGTCTATATATAGACTATCGGAGCTGATTGATTGGGAATCGAGCGGTTTACTCGATTAATGTTTACTCAAAATTATAATACAAACAGTAATAGATAGAAAATAGTAACGTTAAAGAATTCTTTAAAAGTTAAATAAGTTAAACTGAAATCTTTAAAAACGTATAACATGTTTTTAAAGAATTCATTGCCTCGTAAACAAAGTCCTTTATGACCCAAACGGTGCCTATCCAACCTTTACGTCTTTTTATCTGACTGTTGAATGTAGAGTCTCTAAACTTTGAGTACTTACATTTACAATTTCACAACTTCCAAGAAATGAAAATGAAAGTCTCGATGTAACTTTCTTTTCTTTTCTTGGCTCTAAATCTGATCAATAGTGAAGCGTTGTGACAGTTTTACACGTGACGTTGTGACAGTTTTACACGTGACGTTGTGACAGTTTTACACGTGACGTTGTGACAGTTTTACACGTGACGTTGTGACAGTTTTACACGTGACGTTGTGGCATTTTGACACGTGATGCGTCGTCTGAACCACACAGACTCGACCCCTCTTTTCCGGTCTGCTCGGCCAGACGTCCCACCTGAGACACGACCAAAGACCTGGGCCGGAAACTTTCCACCTCTTTTCTCTGTATGTACCACCTTATTTTTACATTTCTATGCTACTACTTTTGCGGAGTACATACGTGTTTATTTTATTCAAGTTTTCCTGAGATTCAAATTTGGTATTCATAAAACTCGAGTACGAACCTCAAAGTAAAAACTCACACTCGGACTAGACTCAACCTTGAGCACGACTAGAATCTTGAAGTGAATGCTCAGTGAAATGTACTGGAAATAGTCAAAAACTAAGATTGAGTAATAATTGAGGTTAATTTTCGGCTGTCTTGTTATTTAATTTGAATTGTTTTGACTGAGATCAAAATTCCAATAACTGGTCCGAAGAATGTACATTCTTCGGATATAAAGGTAATCAAATTGGAAATCATGATCCTCAAAATCTGTGGTGAGTAGTTAGTAGATAAGTATTCTAATGATCCCAACGATTGCACTTTTACAGATTATGGCTTTTATAGGCGAATCACTGATTTATATTAGGTGAATCACGTTATCATACCTAATTTGATGTTCTTTTACTCAAAATCTATATCATATGGATACTTAACATGGAATCACTGCTAATGCTATGACCATAGAAGAATACAGTCTAGGACTAGGGTTAAGTATTAATTAGGGGTCAGTACTAATTTAGTAAGTGTGAAAACTGAAGTTGGTTCGAAATCAAGGTTACACGTTGACAGGCGAGGACAATTTGAAGAGAAGAAGTGACGATAGATAAAATTAAAACTGATAACCCTGTCACAGATCACAGTGACCAGGTACCGAGTTACTGGTGTCAACTCTAGATCAGATCCTTGCTACCTCGACTTCGACCACGACCTTCTCAGATTCGCTCTACGACTTTCTCGCAACGATCTCAACCCTATCTACAGTAAGATAACGGAATTCACTTAAAATTAAAAGTTTGTGTCGAGATGGGTCCAATGGCATAATAAGTAAAACTCTCCTCAGCGATTTCCTTTCTACCAATGAATTAAATGAATAAATCTATTGTCACCATGATCATGAAATGGCTCCAGCCTCCAATAAAGCCATGAACGCCTATAGCATTATCAATTTTAGTGCTTATGTAACGAATGATATAACATTAAAAAACGCTAAATAAAATCTAAGTTTTTACACTTCAGTTGAATACTCCTCAATTAAACATGTGGACATTCAGGAGGTCCAAAGAAAAGAACCAACACCGGTGAGTTTATGGATTTATCCAAAATGCGATGTTCAGTGTCTTAATTGTACGTATTTCTATCAATAGTTTTTCGCCATAATATCTCGGCCAAAAACAACCCAGACTCTTTTAGGACGAGATCATGGGATATCCTCATCTAAGAGAGAACGAGATTGACAGTTTTGGAGGTAACGCCTCTTATATCAAGCTTCAAGAGGGACACAAACTTGCCGAAATCAGATATGGGAACACGTTCGAGCTTTCTGTTCTTTACATATCAGGTTGATTTCTTTCACTTTCACTTTCACTTTCACTTTCACTTTCACTTTCACTTTCACTTCCACTTTCACTTTCACTTTCACTTTCACTTTCACTTTCACTTTCACTTTCACTTTCACTTTCACTTTCACTTTCACTTTCACTTTCACTTTCACTTTCACTTTCACTATTGGTTCTTTTCCTGTCAGGTCGACTTCTTTTTACTTTCACTTTCTCTAATTGTCAGGTTGACTTATCACTTTCTGTTCTTTAAGGAGAGTACCCAGTATCTGCTACTAACAATTAATCACCGCTAGTTTTTACACTACTACCATTAATCACACTCTCTCCTGTTCAGCACTACCAAACGACCTGGAGTCCCTCAAGGAACTCATATTCAGTCTCAATAGTGACGAGAATGTGGGTAAGTTTGCGACACATGTTCGGTACGACAGATGGGTCCACAGAAAAATGGTTGAGGCTTTGGGTGACACGGACCGGAACCAAGACTTCCATTTCAGAGGTGAACATTTTGTTTTGGGTTGATGTCTTACTGTTCAGATGAGATTTAGATTTTTGTTCGCTTTGAAGGGAGTATCCTATAACATATAACGAGCGCTTTCTTTCTTTCATTCAAAATTAATATTCCCGCTTACATTTAAATATATTAACTAGATTTCAAGCTCATACTATCTGATTACCTGAACATCAACCTGCCTGAAAAGTACAAAGATTGGTGGCAGGAGTTTTCTAACACTTCTGCAAATACTATGAACCTCAAGCAGCTCCAAGAATTCTTCCATGCTTTTGTGAGTTGCTGAATGTTTATACATGTACTTCAAGACTTGATTTGGTAGTGATTATGACAGTAGGGCCAGAAAGACCGTATTTATAGTTTGCATTGAAAGTCCTTTCACTTGTGAAAGTCAATGACATAGACCGCCAACATTGTTCCCCAGATGCTCGAAACATGGCTTCTAGGTAAAGTTATTCTGGAAGGGTACAACTACGGAAAACATGGACTTAGCGTTGACCAGTTCAACAAGTTTTGCAAAAGGATTCAGGTAACCTTTACTTATCAAAACGAACAGTTAAAAAACTTGATAAATGTTAGCAAATTCAAGAAAACCTAATGAGTGGTAATCATAACAATAGGCAGACAATAACTTACTTTAGGTTTCTACAACAACATGATATTTGCAACTTTAGACGACATTAAAAACCTTCAGAAGCAAGAAATCTCCACCGAGAAACGTACATTCGTGATGAGCAAGAGGGTAACCGGCAAGAAGGTCAGTAAAAAGGAGTCTAAAGTTCCAATCAGAGATTTCTACACAATGTTGTTCTCAAGAGAGAACGATATATTCGACATAAAGAAAAGTGACAACATGGTTTACTCGCTAAACTACTATTGGATTAATTCCTCTCACAACACCTACCTTATGGGTGAGTAAAAGGAAAGACTCTCGTTAGTCGGTTTTGTGGGGAAGTTAAAATGTTTATGGGTTTGTGAACGAAAAGTGGTTAAGAATGATATAAATCACAAAGGCGGTAATATCAAGCGTAATGATTGGATGATGATTTATCACTCTACACTCGAATGTCACGTGACTTTTTCAACCCGTTCTCTAGGTGGCCCTGAACGACTATTCGAAACCCTAACCCTCTAATCTGATCCCAACCCTAACCCTAACCCAATCCCTTAAAAAAGCATATGCTGAAACCCTAACCCTAACGATCGCCAATATCTTGCTAGGGGAGCATTTTAACCCTATGTCATGGGGGTTGATTCATAATCAGCGTCCGAAAATACATCGATTCAAGTTGGTTTCAACTGTCGGGGGTCCTTTCAGAAATCTCGAAAATCGAGTGTAAATTGATTTAGCACGCTCGGTAATGATTAGAAACAAAATATAAATCAAGTATTTAAAAGCAAGCTTTGGTAACTGTAAAAATGTTTATTAGATGCTGGTTAAATCTCGTTAAGACTGTCGGCAACAGATGTCAAACTCCAATTTCCATCGAACATATCAACTGTTTAAGTGTGTATTCTTCTAAATATTAATTAGCAATTTACGAATGTGGAAGAGTCAGTTCCGCATCCAGAAACAATATAAAGTCATATTTTAGCCAGGAGTTGTCTAATTATCTAGCAACCCGAGCGTTTCACAATCGGATTTCAAGTGGTATTTTACTAGCACTATTATAAAGCAATGAAAGGCATTAGTTTGGTCAAATCAAACGGAACATATGCTATCAGACTTTCAACTGACTATGGCAGGGTTAAAACAGTTTTAACGCTAGCAACGATCCCCTTTTACATAGTTCCACTAAAATGATAATTTAAGATTAAATATGTATACTGTATATGCAAGAAAAACATAAAAATTAAGTATTAATACTTGAGAAGTACAATAAAGTTACAAAAGTACACTAACACCCCTTCGTGGAGGAGTGAGGTAATTTAGTTATAATATGATATAATAAGTAATGTATTGACCACAAGTTCCTTCGTTTCCTGGACACAAATGCTATGATAATAATTAATAATAACATTAAAAATAATACGATGGTAATACATTGATGTAAAATTTATTTGAATTTTGGAATAAATAGTATGAGAAAACATTACAGGCTGGTGTCAGGAAGGAGCAATATAAACATACTTTATTCATTATAAAATACATGTAATATAGAACAGCGCTACAGTTAAACAGTTAACTTAGCACTGAAGGTTTTGTTGAATTGTTGGGATCTAGCAACAAAAAACTAAGCGTTTAAAGCGGTTAAAATCTGGTGGAATTCCAGTAATTTCTGCACGTTTGTGGTCACGCAATGTAGCAAACCACATGACATCTCAACACGTGCGACCCATATAAGGAAATACCCCTAACCCTAACATACCAGGACATCAGCTAACAGGGGCCAGCTCAGTGGAGGCGTATATCAGAACCTTGTTACAAGGATGTCGCTGTATAGAACTCGACTGTATAGACGGTCCTAACAACGATCCTATAGTGTGGCATCAAAACACGTGGTGCACCAAGATCAAACTCTTCGACGTGAGTTGTGTCACGTGACGTCATACAACGTGTCACGTGACGTCATACCACGTGTCACGTGACGTCATACAACGTGTCACGAGACGTCATACCACGTGACACGTGTCGTCATACCACGTATCACGTGACGTCATACAACGTGTCACGTGACGTCATACCACGTATCACGTGACGTCATACCACGTGTCACGTGACATCATACCACGTGTCACGTGACATCATACCACGTGTCACGTGACGTCATACCACGTATCACGTGACGTCATACCACCTGTCACGTGACGTCATACCACGTGTCACGTGACGTCATACCACGTGTCACGTGACGTCATACCACGTGTCACGTGACGTCATACCACGTGTCACGTGACGTCATACCACGTGTCACGTGACGTCATACCACGTGTCACGTGACGTCATACCACGTGTCACGTGACGTCATACCACGTGTCACGTGACGTCATACCACGTGTCACGTGACGTCATACCACGTGTCACGTGTCGTCATACCATGTGTCACGTGACGTCATACCACGTGTCATGTGACGTCATACCATGTGTCACGTGTCGTCATACCATGTGTCACGTGACGTCATACAACGTGTCACGTGACGTCATACCACGTGACACGTGTCGTCATACCACGTATCACGTGACGTCATACAACGTGTCACGTGACGTCATACCACGTATCACGTGACGTCATACCACGTGTCACGTGACGTCATACCACGTGTCACGTGACGTCATACCACGTGTCACGTGACGTCATACCACGTGTCACGTGACATCATACCACGTGTCACGTGACGTCATACCACGTATCACGTGACGTCATACCATGTGTCACGTGACGTCATACAACGTGTCACGTGACATCATACCACGTGTCATGTGACGTCATACCACGTATCACGTGACGTCATACCATGTGTCACGTGACGTCATACAACGTGTCACGTGACATCATACCACGTGTCATGTGACGTCATACCACGTGTCACGTGTCGTCATACCACGTGTCACGTGACGTCATACCACGTATCACGTGACGTCATACCACGTGTCACGTGACGTCATACCACGTGTCATGTGACGTCATACCACGTGTCACGTGACGTCATACCACGTATCACGTGACATCATACCACGTGTCATGTGACGCCATACCACGTGTCACGTGACGTCATACCACGTGTCACGTGACGCCATACCACGTGTCACGTGACGTCATACCACGTGTCACGTGACGTCATACCACGTGTCACGTGACGTCATACCACGTGTCATGTGACGTCATACCACGTGTCACGTGACGTCATACCACGTGTCACGTGACGTCATACCACGTGTCACGTGACGTCATACCACGTGTCACGTGACGTCATACCACGTGTCATGTGACGTCATACCATGTGTCATGTGTCGTCATACCACGTGTCATGTGATCATAGGGTCGAAAAAACGACGGTTTTAGACCTATAAAGTTTCAAATATGTGTGTTATTGATATGTTTTTGATTAAGCAAGATGAAGTTGAATCAAAACAGAGCTATAGTCCAATAATCAGGATATCCTTTAACTTTACTTTTTAGTCTCTCATCACTCTCTCACTTTCAGGTGTTAAAAGCGATTAACAGATTCGCTTTTGTTACTTCAGATTATCCCATCATCCTCTCTATTGAAAACCATCTCTGTATCGAGCAGCAGATCGTGGCAGCTAGCATGGTAAGTTCTATAAATAGCATGGTTAGTTCTATAAACTGACAATTCAGAGATTTTTTGCAAGTTTTTTTAATTTTTGGATTGCCACCATATTTAATGATACATACTAGGAAATTTTCAGATGAAACATGTTTTCAAAAACAAGCTGGTTTCCATCGACATTTCTCCTGAAGATCCGGGCTTGCCATCACCAGATGCTCTGAAAAAGAAAATACTTGTAAAAAACAAAAAGATCCAGGAAAGTAAGTAAAATTGCCATAAAAATCTGATAATTCAATCTGATAATTCAGAAATTACCGAAACTTGCAGCAACTCAGAGTATTCCTCAAACTCAAATTTATTTTACAACACTTTGCATGATAAAGTAAGGCCAAGACCATAAATAACAAGTTGTCCAAAAGGAACAAAAACTTTGGGCAGTCTTATTGAGTTCGAAAAGAAATATAAGCTTGAACAGTCTTCTTAAAATCCCCATTTCATAGAGAAAGGAGGCGACAGTGATGCCGATACTACAGGATCTAATTATGTATCTATCAATCTCAATCGTTTAGGTAACCCAGTTTTCCTAGTATGGACCTAGAATTCATCACAATTCTTTTTGAAAAGGTCTCTATAGAGTTTGGAATGTTCTTATTTATATATTCTCGGGAAATGGCGTGGGATGCAATCCCATTTACATGTAGTCAACAAAATTTCTTTATTTGCATGACCCTCACTTCTCCCAATCTGTTTGGTAACAGTTAGTAACAATGCAGTCTTGAGTCTTAGGTAAGTTATCGGTAATCGCACTATATAGTGACAACACTATATAATGACAAGCACTTTATAATGACAGCACCATATAGTGACATGTCATAAGTTTAAATTCCCAAATAGTCAGACTGAGCAGGTTGAGCTGTAGTAAAACACAGTACTGAGGTGTTAAAACATTTTCATTACTATCTTCAGTAACATCCTGAATCAGAAACTCGGTTAATATCAGTTCCTACAAAGTGTAACATTGGGAATGAAATGACACAACTAAAAACGATACCTATGAATATTTTTAAAAACATAACTTTTGTGCCCCAATGCAATGGAAAACCTTTAAGATAAATCCAATAATGGAATCCCAAACGGGTCCACGGCATTGAGCCCCAATGGACGTATAGTTCTTAGTTTCTGAATATAACGGTGTTCATCCACTTCTAGAGTTCTTGGGCTACTATTACTGAGAATTGACACTTTATAAGCCTGGTTGAAATTGTCACGTTGTTTCATGTTATGAACTTCTACAAGGTGTTTACCCAAGCTGAATCCGTCGTCGTTTTCTTCAGGGACAAATGTATTGTCCGAAATGAGTTTGTAGTAATGGGCGCGATGTTCGTTTACTCGTGCCCTTAGGGGCTGCACCGTTCTTCCTACATAACACATATTACAAAGTTGGCAACTGAAGATGTATACAACATTGTAGCTGACACATGTACCAGACACTGCTTTGGCTCGCTGTCCATTGACTGTTATTGATGGATGTGGAGATATGATGTTACAGGTACCGCAGTGTCTGCCCCCACATGGTCTTGTGTGAGGTTGGGTTAAGTCATCCGCAAACTGTTTTGCTTTGACTAACTTCCTTCTAAATGATGTTCCAGTACGTCTGACGAATTTGAAGATAGGGCGTGATGTACCGGCTCTAGATGATATTGGGGAGCCTGGGGTGTTTCCACTTGTATGGGAACCAGATAATCCTGAGAAGCTCCTGGTTCTACTGAGTTCTGGTTCCAATCTTTTTACCGATTCTACTAACTCTTGATCGCTGCCAAATGTTGAAATAACGCGGACTGCTGGTTCTGGAGACTTTGGGACCAGGACACTGCTGTTTGAGTTGTCCAGTGGTTTTAGGCATCTTTCAAAGCCAGGTAGCGCAGTTGGTTAGAACGCCAGCTTTTCAATCGTGAAGTTGCGGGTTCAAATCCCACTGTCTGCCTGGTCGTGGGGTGAGCGTCGTTGACGTTCAGCTAAGGATCCTGAGTGGTCTATGCAGCCCCCCGGTCTACTCAGCCGAATACTCGAGAAATCGGGTGTGAGGGTTAAATGAGGAGCTGCACATTGCAGCAAAGTCTCGGACGAAGAAAGTATGGTACACACTACCTTAACCGTCACTGGCTAAAAACAAATCCTTCGGCTTCCTGTAATTGGCTGGTTGCACTTGTGTAACAATGTGGCTGTTGGAATACTCCGAAGTAAAATAAGTGTCTTGATAAAAAAATCTACCATAGTTTTAGGGTAGTTGGATTGGAAGAAAAAGGTTTTTAATTCATCAATTTGTTTTCGGAGTCTGTCGTTATCATTGATGATTCGCCGGAGTCTCAGGCATGCACTATAGACTATGCTGCTGAATGTATGGTTCGGGTGGTGGGAACCGAAGTACAGGTAGGAGCGAGCATCAGTCTCTTTAACATGAAGGTCTGTCTGAAGATCACCTGCGGTGTCGAAACAAAATTTTATGTCTAAGAACGCCACATAAACATTGTTATCTTCTATGATGTTCTCATCAATGTGGAGGCCAAGTTCTGCTAGCCTTGTATTGACAGTCGCGATGAATTTTGAAAACTGTCTTTTCGTACCATGGAATACTCCACAGCCGTCGTCTATGTATCTCTTGACCGATTTTACAAGTTCCATTAGTTCCGTGTCTGAATAGACTTGCTCACGCATGACATGGTATACTGCTATGTTTGCAAGTTGTACACAGATACTGCGTCATTATATAGTGTTGTCACTATATAGTGCGGCCGCGGGAATCAAGTTATCATACGCGTGAACACTCTTTTCAGACTCATTGAAACTCACTAATTCTCCCCTCAGACTCACTTTAACTCACTAATTCTCCCCTCAGACTCGATAGAAGACGAGGACGACGACTCGGACGAACCAGACGAGAATGACGAGGAGTTGTTTCAGAACGATTCAGCGTACTCCACTTTAAACGAAATCCAGACTGAAGGACCGGCTGAGTCCAAGGAGATGAAGAAATTCTCTGTTTACATTAACGACGATATTGACGGGGAACTTTACAGTTACTGTCAGATAGCTGTCCAGGTAATGACTAATGAGGCTCTAACCAAATAACTATAAATTCTCCGGGTAGGTAACCAGGTAAGGAAGTAACCAGGTAAGTAGGTAAGGAAGTAACCAGATTACCGAGGTATTTGTAACTTACCAGGAAACCAGGTAACCAGGTAACGGTGTAACCAGGTAACGGTGTAACCAGGTAACGGTGTAACCAGGTAACGGTGTAACCAGGTAACGGTGTAACCAGGTAACGGTATAACCAGGTAACGGTGTAACCAGGTAACGGTGTAACCAGGTAACCAATCACTTCAAATATAATCCCAAATATGATACTATTGTACTTCAGGGAAATTCCCTCCATATAAAAGAAGAACGTGACCGTCTATCTCAAAGCAAGGAGATGAGATTGCACGGTTGTAACGCCTGGTACTTTGGTTCTATCAGTCGGGATACCTCGGAGGAAGTTGTTAAGGACTTTATCCTTTCTCGTTACGTTAACTGTGGTATTGATCAGAATGAAGCGATAGGTTCGTTCCTTGTGAGGAGGAGTGGGACACCACTGACAGGACTTTATAACATTGTGGTTACTATCTGGGTGGGAAACGCCGTCAAACATGTCAAGGTGAGTTTTTATTAAGATGTTTTCATTTTTATCTGTTCCTCTTAATTTTAATGTCTTCAAAACTACAGATAATTAAAAATTATACATAAAAAACAGTATCAGTATTAATTGGTCAAAACAAATATGTACACATCTGCAAGATTTTTACACCTAATCATTCATTTTACCTTCAGGTGAAAAGTGAGATAAACATTCTGACACAACGTCTTCAATTCTTCCTGGATCCCTCCGAAAAGTTCAACAGCGTCCCTGACTTCATCAACTTCTACCATGTGCGACAAGACTTACCCCAGTCAGCCTACTTCAAATACCCCATCCCAAACTCGGAGCATTACACCAACAAGCTCTGGTACAAGGGTGACATGGACAGGGACACAGCCCAGAAACTCCTTTTGACCCCAACTTTGATGACAGGCAAATTCCTCATCAGAAACAGAATGGATAAGAACACTAAAATAGGGTTTACAGTGTCATTTCTAATGCCGAAAGACGCAAATGATCTCGTGGTACAGCACTTGACTGCTAGAGAGATAGGACCGTTCGTCAAGATAAACCAAAACCTGAAGTTCTGGAGCGTGAATCACTTGGTGGAACACTTCACTAAAAATCCCATAACTAGTGAAGGATCTGTGAAGCTGACGATGGTATGTAAAGATGGACTAGAAACTCATGTTAGTACCAATGCGGATGGTCTTACTGTGGAGCTGAATGAGGCCTACCCGTATGACGACCCTGCCCTGAATTTGAAGTTCTTGTTGTTGAAGGGGTTCAAGTTTCATAACGCTCTGAAGATACGTGTCGACAGTGATCCGCCTAAGGATTTCTATGAGGCAGATTTCGGGACAAGGAAAGGTAAAATAAAGTGAGGCAGTCTATGAGCTCAGAACAAGTTATGTATAACAATCAACAATGATTTTTAGATGTCAACAGGATACCAAATTGACTCATTCCAGGTCTGCATGTACCAGTAGAGATCACGAGCGTTGTCAAAGACGGAACTCCCTTCGGAAACCAGCTCAAAACCAAAATACTAATAGAGAAGCAAGTCCCCATTATGAGTACCAATTCGGAATTCTTCAGTTTCACAACTCCAATCTCAAAGATTACCATGAAGTGAGTAAATATAGAAAGATTGCGGACAAACAGGAAAATTGTAATAACCTGACACAACCATTAAGGGGGGGGGGGCCAATGGATATTTTTTTGTGAAACTTGATTTCGAGATAGCAGTTGACCAACAAACTAAGACCAGTGACCGAACTTTTGAGGGGGTCCCGGACCCCAACCGCCAAACGGTGCCCGCGGGGCAGCCACGCCCATATTTGGTCCAAATTAGGCCCAATTTAGCCAAATACTCTGAACATGCCCAAAACCCAAATTTTAGGTACTCTACTTGTAGCTAGTGGTCTCCTGAACTCGTATATGAAATTTCATCAAGATTGGACATAAAATGACTGAGTTATGAGCCAAAAACCATATGCCCATATTTGGGCATACGCACCAAATTTGGTAGATTTCGTCCCATAAATTGGTCAAATATCAATATTATTCACTGAAACTTACTTTATATGAAAGGTAAGCCTAAACTACATATTCTCTGTAAGTTATAGCTTTATATCTGTTTAAATGTGGATACTAAGGCGAAAAGACCACAAAAAATGAACTAAATTGCCCATATCTTGGTTCGCGATATTCGCGGAATTGATCTCATTAAAATTGTAACAACTCAATCAGTTTTCAAAATTTGTCCATGAAATTTTCGGAATCGACTCGAAATCGCATTTCCACCTTAGTTTGAGAACAGATTTTTGATTAAGGCCTCAAAAAAAATTTGGCGGCCAAATTCTGAATTTCTCCGGGAAAATTTTGGAATTTGGCCGCCAAATTTTTTTGGAGGCCTAAATTAAAAATCTGTTCTCAAACTAAGGTGGAAATGCGATTTCGAGTCGATTCCGAAAATTTCATGGACAAATTTTGAAAACTGATTGAGTTGTTACAATTTTAATGAGATCAATTCCGCGAATATCGCGAACCAAGATATGGGCAATTTAGTTCATTTTTTGTGGTCTTTTCGCCTTAGTATCCACATTTAAACAGATATAAAGCTATAACTTACAGAGAATATGTAGTTTAGGCTTACCTTTCATATAAAGTAAGTTTCAGTGAAAAATATTGATATTTGACCAATTTATGGGACGAAATCTACCAAATTTGGTGCGTATGCCCAAATATGGGCATATGGTTTTTGGCTCATAACTCAGTTATTTTTTGTCCAATCTTGATGAAATTTCATATACGAGTTCAGGAGACCACTAGCTACAAGTAGAGCACCTAAAATTTGGGTTTTGGGCATGTTCAGGGTATTTGGCTAAATTGGGCCTAATTTGGACCAAATATGGGCGTGGCTGCCCCGCAGGCACCGTTTGGCGGTTAGGGTCAGGGACCCCCTCAAAAGTTCGGTCACTGGTCCTAGTTTGTTGGTCAACTGCTATCTCGAAATCAAGTTTCACAAAAAAATATCCATTGGCCCCCCCCCCCCTTAACTATTAGTAATAGTATTGACATGTCTGAACACATGAATCCATCACAGGTTCACCTCTAATTTGGAAGTCCACCAGTTCGCTAAAGTATTCACGGAAGCAGCTACCCTCACAGCCGGCGGAGGTCATGATGCTGCGAAGATGGGGCTTAGCAAGGAACTTTCTGATCTGGTGATCTACTGCCAGGCTGTTAAAGTACCCAAACCCTTCGCTCCCGCTACAATCAGTTTAATGCAACCGTAAGTGAGCTACAATCAGTTTAATGCAACCGTAAGTGAGCTACAATCAGTTTAATGCAACCGTAAGTGAGCTACAATCAGTTTAATGCAGCCGTATGTGAGCTACAATCAGTTTAATGCAGCCGTATGTGAGCTACAATCAGTTTAATGCAACCGTAAGTGAGCTACAATCAGTTTAATGCAACCGTAAGTGAGCTACAATCAGTTTAATGCAGCCGTATGTGAGCTACAATCAGTTTAATGCAGCCGTATGTGAGCTACAATCAGTTTAATGCAACCGTAAGTGAGCTACAATTAGTTTAATGCAGCCGTATGTGAGCTACAATCAGTTTAATGCAACCGTATGTGAGCTACAATCAGTTTAATGCAACCGTAAGTGAGCTACAATCAGTTTAATGCAACCGTATGTGAGCTACAATCAGTTTAATGCAACCGTAAGTAAGCTACAATCAGTTTAATGCAACCGTAAGTAAGCTACAATCAGTTTAATGCAACCGTAAGTAGAACCCTTCGCTTTATAGAACTAGAACCCTTCGCTCCCGCTACAATCAGTTTAATGCAACCGTATGTGAGCTACAATCAGTTTAATGCAGCCGTATGTGAGCTACAATCAGTTTAATGCAACCGTAAGTGAGCTACAATCAGTTTAATGCAGCCGTATGTGAGCTACAATCAGTTTAATGCAGCCGTATGTGAGCTACAATCAGTTTAATGCAACCGTAAGTGCTGCTACAATCAGTTTAATGCAGCCGTATGTGAGCTACAATCAGTTTAATGCAACCGTAAGTGAGCTACAATCAGTTTAATGCAACCGTAAGTGAGCTACAATCAGTTTAATGCAGCCGTATGTGAGCTACAATCAGTTTAATGCAACCGTATGTGAGCTACAATCAGTTTAATGCAACCGTAAGTGAGCTACAATCAGTTTAATGCAACCGTATGTGAGCTACAATCAGTTTAATGCAACCGTAAGTAAGCTACAATCAGTTTAATGCAACCGTAAGTAAGCTACAATCAGTTTAATGCAACCGTAAGTAGAACCCTTCGCTTTATAGAACTAGAACCCTTCGCTCCCGCTACAATCAGTTTAATGCAACCGTATGTGAGCTAGGCGTTCTTTTTATAGAACTAGAACTAGAACCCTTCGCTCCCGCTACAATCAGTTTAATGCAACCGTATGTGAGCTAGGCGTTCTTTTTATAGAACTAGAACTAGAACCCTTCGCTCCCGCTACAATCAGTTTAATGCAACCGTATGTGAGCTAGGCGTTCTTTTTATAGAACTAGAACTAGAACCCTTCGCTCCCGCTACAATCAGTTTAATGCAACCGTATGTGAGCTAGGCGTTCTTTTTATAGAACTAGAACTAGAACCCTTTGCTCCCGCTACAATCAGTTTAATGCAACCGTATGTGAGCTAGGCGTTCTTTTTATAGAACTAGAACCCTTCGCTCCCGCTACAATCAGTTTAATGCAACCGTACGTGAGCTAGGCGTTCTTTTTATAGAACTAGAACCCTTCGCTCCCGCTACAATCAGTTTAATGCAACCGTTAGTGAGCTAGGCGTTCTTTTTATAGAACTAGAACCCTTCGCTCCCGCTACAATCAGTTTAATGGAACCGTTAGTGAGCTAGGCGTTCTTTTTATAGAACTAGAACCCTTCGCTCCCGCTACAATCAGTTTAATGCAACCGTTAGTGAGCTAGGCGTTCTTTTTATAGAACTAGAACCCTTCGCTCCCGCTACAATCAGTTTAATGCAACCGTTAGTGAGCTAGGCGTTCTTTTTATAGCACTAGAACTGATTCGGGCATATTATTATTTTCTGTCTTACAGATAACTACGAGTCGCTCCGCCTCCAACGTTACGTCACACCACGTGACATGACGTCATACCTCATGACATGAGGTCTTACCACGTGGTTCCTATATAAGGATATATCTCAGGTACCACATGTGCTCGTTTACAGAACTGACGATAGATAAGTTCGCCAAGAACAGAGTGGACTACATGAACCTGAGCAGGTTTTGCGACCAGCAACTAGGTAGGATGTATCCCAGTTGGAAGAGGATGGACTCTTCAAACTACTCTCCAATGTTGCCGTGGGCGTATGGAATGCAGCTAGTCGCACTCAACTTTCAGACGCCTGACCTGGCCATGCAGCTCAACCATGGCATGTTCACTAGGTTAGCAGTGTACAACTAGAATCAGCAGCGATTATGAATTACAACAAATTATTCAAAGTTAAAATTGGACAGTGTTTAAACTTTAATTAAATAATTGGATTTTTTGTAAAGTTCTTCACGATTTACAGCCTAATTTACCTCAGAAATCAACGCAGAGGCTATATAATGAAGCCTGCGTTCATACGAAAAGAACAATACGATCCTAACAATCTGAAGACCTACTTAACAGACGCGGGTCCTGAAGTGATAACTATAAATATCCTCACCGGCAGGTCAGCCCAGTAAACCTGCAGTTGACTATATGTTTTTACGTCACAACCAAAATAAAATTTTGGTATTACCTGTTTCATTTTTATTATACGCTGTTTTTCTAAAGCATTTAATATTAAATTACTCTATTCAGGCTGATTTCCCTCCCGAAGAACTGGAACAAGACAGGCTGTTTTGTAAGTGTGACCCTCCATGGTATTGGACCCGATCAAAATATACAAAAGAAATCTACTGTTGACAGAAAACCTGGTGAGTTTAGCATATAAAATCACTGCTTAATCATTTTAATTAATTAATATTAGTATCAGGATCTAACCTTTAATTAATTAATATTAGTATCTGCTTAATCATTTTAATTAATTAATATTAATACCAGGATCTAACTTTCTCAATTTCCCACTTCCCAGGTGTATCTCCCAAATGGTATCAGGATCTACCCTCTAACACTATGGAGTTTTCGGTTGGGTTCCCACAGTTAGCAATGTTACAATTCGTCCTCTTCTCGAGCTCCAACGAACTTCTCGGTCAAAGATGTGTTCCTGTAGACTACATGAGAGAAGGTAAGTTAGAGTTAGAGTTAGAGTTAGAGTTAGAGTTAGAGTTAGAGTTAGAGTTAGAGTTAGAGTTAGAGTTAGAGTTAGAGTTAGAGTTAGAGTTAGAGTTAGAGTTAGAGTTAGAGTTAGAGTTAGAGTTAGAGTTAGAGTTAGAGTTAGAGTAAGAGTTAGAGTTAGAGTTAGAGTTAGAGTTAGAGTTAGAGTTAGAGTTAGAGTTAGAGTTAGAGTTAGAGTTAGAGTTAGAGTTAGAGTTAGAGTTAGAGTTAGAGTTAGAGTTAGAGTCATTTGGGGAGATCGAAATGAAAGTCTTACATGGCTGTGCAGTGTGCATTGTGCACACTGCACGAATGTCGTTAAAATTGGGCACAGATCAGCTATCTGATAAAAACATACTGTCATATAAATCTGTATATAAATACATGCTGTTATATAAATCTGATAAAAATACTGTGAAACAAAAATGACAAATATCGTACAAATAAATGAGTCACGTGAATGAAAATGTATGTTATCTAAAAGTAAACCAGCTCATAGACTAGGATTAATCTCTGGCTCATTAAACCACCTATGCGTCAACAGACTTACAATATCAAGTCTCTGATCAACGTCATTCTTCATACACCGGTTGATAAAGTCCTTTGCGAGATCGTCTCCATCATCAAGCCACTGCAATTCAACGTAGTCCCGGATCTCTGTTTTCTCGTTGAAAGGACAGTCTCCAGCAATGAGGCAGTGGACCAAACACCCAATAGTCCAGACAGCAGCAGGGAAAGCGGAGTATTTCTTCTCTCGGTAGTATTCTGGGGGCAGGTAGACGTCTGTTCCTTGGTAGGTGGTGTAGGGGTCTGGAGAGAGTTTACTGGCGGAACCGAAGTCGAGCAGCTTGATCTGGAGAGTGGTGGGGTTGAGGAGGATGTTTTCGTCCTTGATGTCCCGATGATCGATACCGCAGGAGACAAGGTAGTGGACAACCTGGTGAGGGAGGCATTTAGAGTTTGATTTGAAAGTTTCGATTTGAAATTACACATTGAATCATCAAAGGGCTGGGAAATATTTAAAGAGATGTCAAGATGTCACTGAAAGCTGGGATAAATAAGGATAGCTTACCTTGATAACTTGTCGGGTGGTGAAACCAGCAGCTGCGGAGGTTAGAGGTCCGTTCTTGTCGATGTAAGTAAAGAGATCCTGGTATTCCTTCTCATAGTCCATCACGTACATCCAATAGTTGCCGTCCTCATCGTAAAACACCTCCAGAAGAGCCACTAGGTTGGGGTGGTAGAGAGGCAACCACAGTGCCACTTCATCCGGCACGTACTTGTTGAATCTGGGACACCAGGTCTTCCGCAAGCACTTTTTATCAGGGACAATCTTTACTGCACACTTCTGTTTAGTGTCCCGGTCGATACAGGTCCACACAGTTCCGTATCCTCCTGATCCGATGTGATCCACCAGCATGTAGTAATCCGTGAAGTTCTCCGTTTTTCTGTCTCCGTACATATCGTGAGAGGGAAGGTAAGTAAGGGATTATAATTAAGGAAATTGGTTGAAAGGCAGAGATAAACTGAATGATGCACTTCACCCTTCACTTCCGCCTTATATACCGCCCCTCAGCCCTCACTTTAGAGATGTCTCATTAGAGGGAGGGATTGCAGTTAGTCTGGTCACGTGTAATTAATCGGTCACGTGGTGTGACGTAACCCTCATTACAGGCTCCACGTGGGACCGGTAAGGAACCCCCTCCACCACTGATTGCTTGATAACAGCTGTGGGGAGACATGTGACCCTACCCCTAATGGTTTTCAGACGCTAGTCCGATGTCATGTGGTATGTCATGTGGTACAGTGGTATGTCATGTGGTAATTGGTAATTGGTATGGTGGAGTGTCTGATGTCTCGGGATATTCACCTGTAAAATTGGTGTGACCTGACCCGTGACGAGTAAAAATGATACGTAGGTATTCATGTCAGGTGAAAGTTGCTGCATAGGAATTAGGTTTGTGGGGTGTTGTGGAATGCATGTTTGCAGAAAATGTAGGGCTTGGAATTTGTCTGCCCTCAGCCCTGCGGCATGGCTTTGCCATGTATCGGAAACTTCGAAAGAAACCCAATAATATTATGACAACCATCGTGTACTTGTAGGGGTAGTACTAGTAAGTCACTAAGTGAACACAACGCTTATAGTAGTATAGTCAGTGTAATAAGCGCCAAGCGCGAGCACAGAATTTTTTTTCTCCGATTTCGATAAATTTGGTACCAAAAGTTGTCTAAAAATGTGAATAAAATAAATCCGCCGTGTAGCAATTTTCGCTAAAAATGCTACACGGCGCTTGTTTGCCGCGCGTGCTTTTATCGCGCAAATTTTTAGTTTTTGGCCTATAACTTTCACATTTTCAGTTATTATCACATAATTATTATGGCATTGTAATTTGTAGCGCGATGCGTTACTGTGCCGCGCCGCGCACTCAATGAGGCTTCTCACAGCGAGATCGGCGGGATGCGCTACTGTGCCGCGCCGAGCTGCCATGAATTGACATCGTCAATTAACATTGTAATCAGCTCATCGAGACGAAAATTTTAGTACTAATATTTTAAGATTTAAAGAAAAATTATAATTATTTTCAAAAATTTTTAATCTGAACACAAAGCCGTCCCCACTTGTGTGAAATTTTGAACAAATTTTTGAAAAATTTGGTGCTTCAAAAATTATAATTTTGGTACTAAAAGTTGCGTCTGACTACGTTCATTACGATCCTGTAAGAATTATTTCAAAAAATTCAATATTTTAGGAGTTATAGGCATTTTAAGCAATAAATTACCTATTTTTCGTCCTTTGTACACTCTTGCGATGCACAAAAAGCCCACATACAGCTTGACGTTATCGTGCTACACGGTGAATTTTCATTATTCACACTTAGAGGTAACTTTTGATACCAAATTTATCAAAATCAGAGACAACAAATTCTGTGCCAGCTCATGGCGCTTATTACATAGACTATTAGTATTAAGCAGTATTGATAATAAAGTTGCATTTCTTAGCATTAGTTTACTCCAAGATCTAAAATCTAAATCAGCATAAAAACCATTGTTACTATTGTCTGCACCATATAATATTTAGGGCCGTATTCTAAATGATTGCTAACAATTTGTTTCTCCGTATCCAGGCTACAGATCAGTGATCCTGCACAACGTGTACGGTGAAGAGCTGGAGTTAGCAGCTCTACTAGTCCACGTAAACAAACGGCCCTGGGAGGCATTTGAAACTTGTGACAGACTAGACCAGAACAACCAAAGGGAGAGCGAACTTCAGAAGGTATAGTTGCACTTATAACCAACCTGGCAACCTACTAGCCTTGCCCCTTAAGTTTAACATCAGAACCTTTCTCATTACTTTTCCTCGTAGTCATTTCAATCCAGGAAAGCGTATGTTTGAAAATGTAATGAAAAATTCTGCCAAAACATTGTCATTACTGGTCGGCACTCAGCCTGTCATTCCGCCGAATCTCTATATTTTTATGAACATTATAGCCTGGGGTCCCCAAAACAGTGAAATCTCGGTCTCCGTCTAGGAAAGCTCATAATTCATAATGGGACAAAATTGGGACCATTTGGTAATTGTCCGGTCCATTTTCAAAACTTGAAGTTGAAAATGGAGAAATTTTCGCATACCCAATATAATAATACCCAATTGATTGCTCTATTCTTGCGTTACCTGGTTTCTAAATCTATTAACTCCGTCCGTTTTTCAGAAAGCGACAGATCTAGCGTCAGTGATACACTCCAACATAAAGTACCGTAAAGCAGCTGTAGAGCACCTTGAAGACCAACAGTGTACTCTCGAGAGGTACCTTATGGAACTGTTCGACCTGAAATACAGTGACAAGTTCATTGACGCTCTTATGAACCCAATGGGTGCCACAACGGCTATCTCCTCGCATTTTAATAAAAACTTGTGAGCTACTGCTTAATAATAATACCGACTGATTTTACTGGAGTCTGATTAATATCATGCGAAGACATTCAAAAATTTCTCAAATTTGAAATTGGACATTCTGACTCAGACTACAGCAATGGCCAGTTTTACGTCACCGGACCCTATATAATTGTAATAAACTCGAGTTGATTAATTATTGCACTATCTTGTATCTGTAAAATCCAGAATGTACAAATGCCCAATGCCCATGTCTTACTGTTTGTGGGCAATATAAAAAGATTGTAACATTTTCTGTCAAACCCTTTTTACCTTACAGCGATCAATACATTTTCTTTATGTCTGAAAGTGAATGATTTACATTTCAATTTATCTTCAGCTATTAATCTTTTTCTTTTAAAATCACGCACAGCAAAAATAATGCGTACATTTTGGGAAAATTTTTAAATATTAATTGATGAAATATAATGTGTAATGATTCCATCCCATCATGATCGAATACCATTATCATTACTCATTACGTTTTATCTAAATTAGTTTCTTGTCAAAGTAAAACACACATTTGAAACATTCGGGGAGTGAAAAGCACGCTCCCCAATAATTACTAATAATAATCTTTTATTCTGTAATAACATCGCAATTTGGCTACAAAACACGTGAGACATGCTATTCTCTTGTTAAGACACCCTTAAATACGTGACGTCATAGCACGTGACGTCATAGCACGTGGCGTTACAAAATAACACGTGATGTGACAAAAAATCGCGTGGTGTGACGTCAAACCATATCATTATTCTCCCAAGACCCAAAATACAGGCGATTCAAGAAAAGTATGAGAAGTGCCAGTTGATACCCCGAGGAATTGAACAAAAAGTAACGGTCACGAAAGAAAGAACTTTATCCCCTTTAATGACTAGTTCAATTCCTCAGTAAAGAGCACTGCGAAATGCGAATCAGCACATTATGTCTATATTTGGGCATGCCCACAAAGGGACATGTCCAATAAAGAAGGATCTTAACACAAATTCAAGTGTTATCTCTTTCCACAAGTCTCACGTCAAATTATCCTATCCATTCTAGTGTTCCACTAAAAACACGGACTTCTATTTAAGTACAACCTTCTTTTTAAAATGAACCCTACATGCACTAACTACAAAGTCAATCAACTTATCGATTGATCGTACATGTCGCTGGAAAAGGTAAGAAGGTTGCACTTCCTGCGTTTTCTCTTTTACATTCATCGTCCTACACTTACTCCAATCTGCACGGATAACTTCGCTAAAACAAAACAATACATTTTGTGTTACAAATAACCTACTACTTTAAGTTAGACTTCTTTATTTTTCGTTCATATGCCCTCACTTCAACAAGTGAACCCAATAATCAGCGAAAAGATGGACGAGTCATTCGTGCGCGACTTAAAATCTTCCACTTTCGTCTAAAAACTGGCTAAAAAACTAAAATTGGCTCCACGAAATTTCACCTGTGTCACTGTCAACTGACTGAACATTTCAAAACAATGTAACAACATAATATTATGTAGAAAACAAAATTTGTGACGTTTTGATTTGTGTCTCGCTATGATACCAAATCATTTTCGACATTTAATTAAATACAAACTTAACCTATGATTAAAACCGTGCATCTGATCTGTAAAAGTTTTATAAGTCACGTGATCTACATAAAATGACTTTTTTTGAGCCCGGAGATTATATTTTAACAAATCAACCTTTCTCTCAGCGGACAGTTTGAGATAAATTCTTCAGCTAAATCTAAGAAAGATCGTGTTATCTCAGCCCAGAAATTTTCTCCAAAAAGCTGAAAAGAAAAAAAAAGGATATAGATAGCTGCACCAAGATAACATCTAGAACAAATTAGACTACACTCTCTTCATCTCGTTCGAGTTTCCTAAAAAACAGTTCCTCAGCCTAACATACATAGAGGGGAAACAAATATTTCAAGGGACCGCACATCACTGATCTAGTCCAGCAACTCTAGAAAGTACGTAGTTAAAATCCTTCTCATAGATATTAGGAGTACAGTTAGAAGGTGTACAATTTAGGAGAAGTTGCAGGATCAGATGTATCAGGACTGTGCAGTAACATCAGGGGTTCCAAATAATATTTATCCATAAATGGGCATTATATTATATCAACAAATTCATATTATATAACATGTAACCATTATAACCAAGCATTCTAACAACAGTTTTCTCCTAATTTCAGCACATCTGTACAAGTGTTGCGTCTTTGGTGGGGTTCTGGGATAGGTAAAGAAAATGTTACTTCAAATTCAGAGCCAGGAATGCCAATTTATATTTCAGTTCTCAAGCCTCAGAGGGCGAGGTCTGCAATTTAAGGAATCTTGAAATATATAAGGAAGAACCCCAGCACTTTATGAGGAGGTTGTGTCAGATGATACACTTGCTCGTGTGCTGCAAATCGTAGATAATTTCATACTAGATTTATCATGATCTCGTTTGTAGACTAATTTAGTCCAAAATAAACAGTGTGTGTAACATTATTATCATATACTAGGTTCCAAAAACTTATATTCTAGTGACTAGTTTATCGTGGAGGTGTGTGTCCCGTTTAATCGGGCCCCAAACTAAACTCGTGACAGGTAAAACAAGAACACACCAAGATAAACAAATTAAATAAACAACTGTTTAGCAGTGGCTGTGCTCGAAAAGAGCCACTTGGGTAAAACTCAAAAATAGTGTGACAAGGGAATTTATTAAACTTTCAACCAAGTGACATTAAAAGAGTCGGGTGGTAATAAGAAATACAAAATGCGTGCCTATATTTAAGAAAAACAAAATATGTTAGGCCATATTTACAGTAAACTAATAATTTAACGTCTCTCAACTCTTGTCCATTGATCCCAACAAAATTTTGACAGTCGGTCGGATCAAGGAACAAAATGGTTCATTTTGGTTAAAAATTGTCAATCGTTTTCGTAAGTTTCATTTATCTTCCTTGCGTCGTCTGAATTGAAGTCTTTGTCTGTGGAGCTTCGTTCTTAAACAAGATCATGTTGAACTGTTAATTTACTGATTTCGTTTATCTGAAATAAAAAGAAATTAGCGAATGTCTGAAAATTTTTTGGTAATTTGAATTCTACCGTCAGGCGTCAGCATTTATTTTTGGTTTTGGTCGAATGAAAGTCAGCAGGAAAGTTTCATAGATCTATTTTAGTCTTTTTAAAGTTACCTTCATTTTGTATATTTAGAATAGGCTTCCACCATATGAAAAATCATTGCAGCAGCATTGGCTGCCGCGGAAGGTCTTCTTTCTAACGGTGGTCGGTCACTCCTTTCTCTGGGCGGATGATTCTCAAGATATTCAGTCTGAAACAATAATACAGTTAGGAATTTGGTTGTACGCGTTGGATGAATTCGACTTCCCAAGAACTCGATAGCACGTACATGATTTTATATACAGTATACAGGGCAGCTACAGGGCTGCCTTCGAAATGATTAATTAATTAATTAAAACGCCCGGTCGGCCATGCGCGCATATCGCGCGCGATAAATTCACTTCTATTTTTATGCGCTGAATCGAATAGGAGCCAGCGCGTTCCATAGATTCCTCTAATTGCACACCACAAAGCGTCGTCTCATTTTGTCGTCATAATCATTTCCTGTTCACGGCAATTACCACACCATCTTATGTAAGCAATCTCTGAGTTACACAAAGCTTGGACAGATGGTATTCGTCATATGAGTCTACATCAGGCAATCTGACATGGCTTTCTAGATATAACTGGGCGTGGGGGAAACCTTATAAATCTTCGCAATTTGTTGAAATGTGAACTGCCTTGGTACAAATACATTAGAATATCAACACTTGAGATTCGTCGTGAGAAATATTGAAAGAAGGGGAGGCATGGCAATGTTCGTTATGTCATTAGAATAGACGCGTATAGATCATAGAACAAGCATGGTCACAAACAACTGTTAATTTGAATATAGCAAGGGACCCTGTGTCAACAGATTTGCAGGCTGCATAATATCGAATAATATTTTTAGACGTGATTCTGAAGGACAGTGATAATTATAAAGAGAGCACACAGTGAAAGAAGCTTGTTACTCGCTGGACACACTCCAACAAGTGCTTGTCATGAGCGCAGCTTTGCAATACAATCAACACACCTTTCATGTGACACACATGACACACCTCGTGACACCGTCTCAATAAATTGTTATTGCATTCCTCACTGCTCGCTTGTAGAGTATTACTGGCTCTAGGCCATATCTATGTCGGCTCTAGAAAAGGGTCACGTGTCCCCCAAATAAGGTCATGTAAGGTCATGTGATTAATACCACTCAGCGCTATTGGTGTAAAATTAGCATGTGGTATAATCAGGACAGAATTAAGAGGTTCGGGCCGTAGAAACGCTAGATAATCTCCTAAAAGAGAGACTGATGTAACCGATCAATGTGTCAATAGAACAGTGACGTTTAGTAATGAAATGGTCGCAGTTACATTATCCTGACCAAATGACAGAGCCATCAGCGACCACCCACCCCATTATTGTAGGGTGTGAGTTTAAACCGGGTGTGAGTTTAAACCTGTGGTCTCATCTCAAAGGAATGCGAGGAATTTACAATTATCAGCACAGCCTTGACTGAATTAGGGCCCTTTGACGCAAGCCCAGCCCTGGTGAGCTGGCGTTCATGTTACTGCACGTGTTCCGGGATTTGCAGTTCCAGTTCGTCAAACACTCGTTACGCGGTAATTATATATCGTAACAGATACGACAAATTCAACTTTTACACTTTACAGATACAAGGTATCGCATTGATATCTGAGGCCTATACCATCAATTCTAAGGGGTGGTCTTTGCAAATTTTCTGGAGTCCAATCACAGCAATGCGGAAAATAGTTGCAATTATCATCGGACAAGTCGCGAACAAGCCGCGAACTAAAAGACTTTACAACCGAATATTTACTCTGTACTATATACTTATATATTATAAATAATATTATAATATGTACTCTGATCGGCAACTAATTTTCCGCATTATTTGTAGACCAGCCAAATTCTTTGCAACACCGACCTTCCGTACGTCAAATACAGTGCATATTATAACCGACAGCTAGTAGACGAAGAGAGTTTTCTTTTTCTAACTTTTACAACAATGACGTAAAAATTGGTGACAGTATGAGTAAAGTAGATTTATCATATGTTCACATGACTCCTTATCTGGGCGTATATTTGGCAAACGCACCGGACTTCTAAATAACTCTTCAGGATGTTCACCAGTGTATTTTCAACTTTATCACGTGAATTTTGTGGGGGAAACCGCCGGCTTCTTGGAAAATTAAACACGTGTTTAGCAGCGAAACCAAAATTATATGAACCGGTTTTTTTCGTCGTGAGACTAAAGTCGCAAGGAGTTGACAAAAGTGGCAAGCTCTGTGACAGGATTAAAACTTTTAATTAAAGTAATTAAAGCAATTAAATATTAATTAACTCACCCAATTGGCTGGTGACAACTGGTGCTCAGCGTCCAGCATAAGCCGGGTAGCTGTGTTGTGAATTGAGGGAATCTCGTAACCTCTGTCGTTATCCAAAAACCGTCTACACAGCTCGATCAGGTACACGATTAGACACAGCAACATGCCAAACGTTGGTTTACCTGCCTCGCATTGGGGTGTGTGGGATACAAATTCTTTGAATACCTGGGGGATCATGGGATTAGAAGAATTTGTGTGAGGGTAATGGAAGAGATATCAGACGGATTATATTTAGGAGGTATACTCCACCTATAATTATGTGGTCTGATCAGTGTTGTATCCGGATTTCATTCCATTTTAAAGTCACTACTTCACTATGAGGAGTGAAGATTGACTAAATATCGACATATTGTCATGGTTATTACACCACAATCAGTAGTATTTACCTTAGTGATGTCATGTTGATAAGATCTGGGATCCAATGATACCTGATCTGTCAGATTCTTTATACCTTTCCTCTGTTCTGAAATAATACACGGCTTTTAGTTAAGAAACAGTGGAAATATTATTATAATGAGGTAAATTAACTCATATCGTCGACACGTACCGTGGTTTACCAACTCAAAGTTGAAATATGTAATCTCAGATATTATTCTGAGAGCTGAGTAGTATACCCTAAAATGTTAAGTAATTATGGAATCCAGCCTAAAATAACCTATATATTACAACCAACACTCCACCCCACAGCCATATATCCTACTCCGACGATTACCATACTGGCACATTCCTTATCTCGTTAAAAACAGAGACATTCAAAAGCGAAACTACTTCCTTGGTCCACGTGAAAGAACCCAACATGTGCTGTAAAACTGACCACTACTATAGATTCGGGTAACTGCAAGTTCTACTGTTTAGTGCTGGTATTTGTTTCAAGGTATAGAGGAATGATACTAACCCTGGCTTCTTAACCAGTGTCAGGGGTATTTTTACAGGTTACAGGATACAGAAACATGTTAGTTTGTAAGAGTAGAAGCACGTGAGGTCGAGTCATTTATCCTTATTATCTGATGTTAAACCCGCGGTCTACATTGGAAAAACAAGACAATGGAAGAAGGCTTTGTGCGGTATGTGTAATGCAGCTGTGAGAATGAAGATCTAGAATGTTCCAAGTTAGCCTGAGCTCACGTACGCAACGCTGCTGTGGAGCTTATCTATTCTCTATAATATGATTAATGATCATAGTATGATAATTACCTCTTACAATGCATAATGTTAATTAAGTTTAGTGGCTACGTTCTAAAACGTCAATTGGACGGGAGCAAAGTACGTCAAATTTCAACAGTGCTATACGCACTTCACGTGACGTAACGTGACGTAACATTATAGACGCGAATCAAAGAGCTAACCTGATGGGATCTTGAGGATTTCTGAATAGATTTGGTGGGTGCAAGGAGGGGCGCTGTTTGCCATTACAACTAACTTATCTGAACCCTCAAACTCCGAACCTGTCGATATTATGTTAAAATTAAAAGGCCAAATGTTATGATAGGCCATTGCATAATATGTATATTTCAATAGATCTAACTTTAAAATCAATACTAGATCTAATTTTAAAATCGATAGATATTACTTTAAAATCATTAGATATAATTATGTTAAAATATGCAGATATTACTTTAAAATCATTAGATATAATCACTTTAGAGTAGATCCATTTAAAAAATTCATATCGGATTTTAAAACCGCTGTCAATTGGTGTTAATATAAACTATTTCACTGTCAAATCGTCATAATATAATAACTTTTTAAAATCACTTTAACCTCAAATAGGCTGCTAAAAATAGAATGTACTCATTCAAGCTTCAACTCCAAAATTAACACAAACCCTATGTAAAGAGTTTAAAACCCCCATTTGACTGGACACGTACCTAATTCTTTGAGGAGTATAAAGGAAAGTATGGCCCTGGTTTCGAGCCTGTTGTCCACGTTGCCGCTGTTGGACCCCACCAGACTGGATATTCTGTTGGCAGGTGGGAATGTGTGCGTGTTGTTCATCTGATTTGGCACTGGACTCTGCGACCCTCGGTTACTCTCATGACCGATTGTCTGGGCCCACCTGAAAATAAACAAAACTGAGGGGATCTGAGGTAAAACTGAGGTTAACTTATCAGCTTATGAGATGAAGGTAGTGGGAGTGAGGTTAACTTATCAGCTTATGAGATGAAGGTAGTGGGAGTGAGGTTAACTTATGAGCTTATGAGATGAAGGTAGTGGGAGTGAGGTTAACTTATCAGCTTATGAGATGAAGGTAGTGAGGATTTAGAGTTGGGACAGGTTACCTGAGGACAGTAGGGCTCAATATTAGGGACACAACAATTTAACACAAAGGAGATAACGGTGGTAACGTTTCCGGGCTAACAGAGGTATCCTTTAAACCTGCTGTTTGTTTAACATCTGATAGATATTGATCACGTGACATTGTCAGTAATTGTTAGATCTGGTGATGGGAGCCCTCAAACCAGGAAACATAATCTTATCTCACGATCGAGCTGATTCATTTAACCGGAACATATTTAACCGGAACACATACAATTAGTCAGACTTGCTGATCTGAACACTAGCTAGCTGTTTGTACCCTAAACCCTTTTAGACCCGTTCAGTTCAGCCTTCCTTCTCTCCTTTACATAACTCAGCCTTCCTTTCCTCCTTTACACAACTCGTTTTCAAATTTACAACTAGTCACACGTGACTGTGCTATTTTTAGAAACCACGTGATCGTTCATTACAACAGTGTCTGATTACAAGCTAAACTCGTTGACTAGGTAGGCCCTCATGTGGGGAGAAGATAAAATACCACGAATATTTACACTCACAGTTTATCATTAGAGCTCTTGTACAGAGGAGAATCAGCATATTCTGCAGTATTCAGGCTGCTGCTCCAATACAATATACTCAGTACAGTAGGCATAGTAGTCCCCTACCAAAACGCTTTGTGATTAGACAATTGGTGTTATTCTGAGCTCCTGATTGGAAGAGAGGCGCCTACTTTTTATACCCATACTACAGAAGAGAGAGAGAAAGAGAGAGAGAAAGAGAGAGAGAAAGAGAGAGAGAAAGAGAGAGAGAGAGAGAGAGAGAGAGAGAGAGAGAGAGAGAGAGAGAGAGAGAGAGAGAGAGAGAGAGAGAGAGAGAGAGAGGAGAGAGGGAGAGAGAGAGGGAGAGAGAGAGAGAGAGAGAGAGAGAGAGAGAGAGAGAGAGAGAGAGAGAGAGAGAGAGAGAGAGAGAGAGAGAGAGAGAGAGAGAGAGAGAGAGAGAGAGTAATATAGACAACTCACTAGCCTCGCTGCAGATGGTTACTGCAGTTGAATATTGCAGTGCAGAGTCACCCAGCTTACTACACCGTGGCCTCAACACACAGTGTATGTGGGCTGTTGTAATTACAGTAGTGTAATTACTGTAGTGTAATTACTGTAGTGTGTAGGGGGTAATTATCATTATCTCCAGACTCCTTTCTACAGAGAGAGAGGAGGTTTAGTGAAGGGGTTTAGACTCTCTCTCTCTCTCTCTCTCTCTGATGATGATGACAGTTAGAGGTAAGACCACGACAAATGAGTTGCTGTGTAGTGGGTACACTGGTGTGAGAGTTAGAGTTAGAGTTAGAGTACTGCTGCTGCTGCTGCTGGGGAGACGATTCCTACTGCTGCAGTACGTGGGTATAATGCTCCAGTGTTTTAGAGTACTGGAGTTAGGAGGTGTTGGATTGAGAGAATGGTTGGTTAAGATATCTGAGATATAACTACAGCAGGTGCAGGAGTGTGGGAACTACTTAAATTGACGCACAATCTTAATTGTTATCTTCCTGAGCACTTCCGTACAGTTAGTGGTAGTGTCCTGGTTCAGTACCTCTTCCTGAGCACTTCCATACAGTTAGTGGTAGTGTCCCGGTTCAGTACCTCTTCCTGAGCACTTCCACACAGTTAGTGGTAGTGTCTCGGTTCAGTACCTCTTCCTGAGCACTTCCGTACAGTTAGTGGTAGTGTCTCGGTTCAGTACCTCTTCCTGAGCACTTCCACACAGTTAGTGGTAGTGTCTCGGTTCAGTACCTCTGTAAAATTCACAGTTGTAGGGTTATAACGGTACTCACATCTTCACATAACGCCTAGAAGAGTACCAGACGTAGTAACACGACAAAAACCAGCACTTTATGGAACTGTGAGAACATAATGGGCGGCTAACATTATACCGAGATATATTACGTTTACTATGTTATAAGTCTTGGTTTTGCCAGATCAAATATGGTCTAATTGTTAGAAATAACGCCGTTGGACGGAGTGTTAGATCAGAGAGCTTGATATACATATTATACAACCTAATAATATCAGGGTTATATCTCAGTATTATAATAATATCAGGGTTATATCTCAGTATTATAATAATATCAGGGTTATATCTCAGTATTATAATAATATCAGGGTTATATCTCAGTATTATAATAATATCAGGGTTATATCTCAGTATTATAATAATATCAGGGTTATATCTCAGTATTATAACATGTTATATCTCAGCAGTATAACATGTTATATCTCATTATAACACAGCCCTGGTGTCGTATACACTAGCTTCAGGTTTATATTAAAGTAACAGTGGAACCACAGGGCCTGCTCGTAAACCCTGGCTTCAGGTTTATATTAAAGTAACAGTGGAACCACAGGGCCTGCTCGTATACCCTGGCTTCAGGTTCATATTAAAGTAACAGTGGAACCACAGGGCCTGCTCGTATACCCTGGCTTCAGGTTCATATTAAAGTAACAGTGGAACCACAGGGCCTGCTCGTATACCCTGGCTTCAGGTTTATATTAAAGTAACAGTGGAACCACAGGGCCTGCTCGTAAACCCTGGCTTCAGGTTCATATTAAAGTAACAGTGGAACCACAGGGCCTGCTCGTATACCCTGGCTTCAGGTTTATATTAAAGTAACAGTGGAACCACAGGGCCTGCTCGTATACCCTGGCTTCAGGTTTATATTAAAGTAACAGTGGAACCACAGGGCCTGCTCGTATACCCTGGCTTCAGGTTTATATTAAAGTAACAGTGGAACCACAGGGCCTGCTCGTAAACCCTGGCTTCAGGTTCATATTAAAGTAACAGTGGAACCACAGGGCCTGCTCGTAAACCCTGGCTTCAGGTTTATATCAAAGTAACAGTGGAACCACAGGGCCTGCTCGTAAACCCTGGCTTCAGGTTTATATTAAAGTAACAGTGGAACCACAGGGCCTGCTCGTATACCCTGGCTTCAGGTTTATATTAAAGTAACAGTGGAACCACAGGGCCTGCTCGTATACCCTGGCTTCAGGTTTATATTAAAGTAACAGTGGAACCACAGGGCCTGCTCGTAAACCCTGGCTTCAGGTTCATATTAAAGTAACAGTGGAACCACAGGGCCTGCTCGTAAACCCTGGCTTCAGGTTTATATCAAAGTAACAGTGGAACCACAGGGCCTGCTCGTAAACCCTGGCTTCAGGTTCATATTAAAGTAACAGTGGAACCACAGGGCCTGCTCGTAAACCCTGGCTTCAGGTTCATATTAAAGTAACAGTGGAACCACAGGGCCTGCTCGTAAACCCTGGCTTCAGGTTTATATTAAAGTAACAGTGGAACCACAGGGCCTGCTCGTAAACCCTGGCTTCAGGTTTATATTAAAGTAACAGTGGAACCACAGGGCCTGCTCGTAAACCCTGGCTTCAGGTTCATATTAAAGTAACAGTGGAACCACAGGGCCTGCTCGTAAACCCTGGCTTCAGGTTTATATTAAAGTAACAGTGGAACCACAGGGCCTGCTCGTAAACCCTGGCTTCAGGTTCATATTAAAGTAACAGTGGAACCACAGGGCCTGCTCGTAAACCCTGGCTTCAGGTTTATATTAAAGTAACAGTGGAACCACAGGGCCTGCTCGTAAATCCTGGCTTCAGGTTCATATTAAAGTAACAGTGGAACCACAGGGCCTGCTCGTAAACCCTGGCTTCAGGTTTATATTAAAGTAACAGTGGAACCACAGGGCCTGCTCGTAAACCCTGGCTTCAGGTTCATATTAAAGTAACAGTGGAACCACAGGGCCTGCTCGTAAACCCTGGCTTCAGGTTTATATTAAAGTAACAGTGGAACCACAGGGCCTGCTCGTAAACCCTGGCTTCAGGTTCATATTAAAGTAACAGTGGAACCACAGGGCCTGCTCGTAAACCCTGGCTTCAGGTTCATATTAAAGTAACAGTGGAACCACAGGGCCTGCTCGTAAACCCTGGCTTCAGGTTTATATTAAAGTAACAGTGGAACCACAGGGCCTGCTCGTAAACCCTGGCTTCAGGTTCATATTAAAGTAACAGTGGAACCACAGGGCCTGCTCGTAAACCCTGGCTTCAGGTTCATATTAAAGTAACAGTGGAACCACAGGGCCTGCTCGTAAACCCTGGCTTCAGGTTCATATTAAAGTAACAGTGGAACTCCCAACACAGGGCCTGCTCGTAAACCCTGGCTTCAGGTTCATATTAAAGTGACAGTGGAACTCAGGGCCTACTGTTCACAGTACCAGTTCCGGTATTGGTCTAATTCACACCACGTGACATGCCCTTATATGGAGTGCCACGTGTCTAATTCCACCTCATACCTGGAGCAGTGACATCTGGGATTTATTTAAAGTTTCATAGGTTTTACCCGAAACAACTTCTCTCCGGACAAATTGCGATTTAAACGGTTTAAACTGGTTTAGTCATGCTCTTGAAATTGAAGTTTCGGCTTACTTCAGGTTCTAGTAGTTTCGAGAAGCTTACCATATACCACGGAGTGAGGAAGCAATTTGACGGAGTAAACCAAACATCCGTGAACTGTAACGAGAGATACCAAGACAAGACAGTATTATTAACGAAGTTACGATCTGATATATGTATATGACTTAATTAAGTTATTTTAGTCTCGCCATTAATTGTGTGGTTACGTGGGATGAATTTAACTGTATGCAGCTGACTCATTATCGATGTAAGCTATCAATTAGATAGTTAGTTAATTTGCAGTCTAAATAGATGGCATTTTACCAGCGAAAAACCCGCGGTATTATTGTTCAGGTAATTCAGATGTTTGTGTAGACGATCGTTTAATGGAAATGATACTCAATTTAATTGATGGAGGATGTAATTTAAAGTAATTGTGGTTAATTAAATATTTTTAGAATCAATTAACCAATTAATTAGCTAATTACCTGGTCACGAACGAGAGCTTGCAAGTACAAAATCTGGAGCAAAGAGTGCTGTGACCGTTACTCATTGGGAAAACTCTACAGGTCTTCATTAGACTGCTACCCGTATGCTATTTAGCTATATTATAATTAGTATTTAGCTATATATGGTAATTTAATTATTGTTGTCATGATTACATGTAATGTCATGGTTACATAATAACGGTAGTCACGGTTACGTTATTTCAGTTACTAAGGTTACAGTTACAGTTGCTATGGTTACAACTGGTAATGGTTAGTTTAACTTCTAGATGAAACTAAACAAAAAATCACTACTGTGAGGTGATATTTAATTAAATATCGGATTATTTTGTTGATAAGAAATTAAATTAAAAGCTTCTAATGCAAGCCTAGGTGACATTTAAAGCTAATGTGATTATAGCTCTTTAATAGAATGGCCGCCAGAATACTAACAACAAAAACTGTCGCAAGTTTGGAATTTTAAAACCAAATAAGAAACCTTATAAATTCTGATTTTCAATTTAAAACCAGTTGGAATGACTCTGGGTAGTTTCGTAAAGAAAGTAAAGAAATTACTACAAGTACAAAGTTAACTGAACAAATGCATTAATATTAATTACTATATTATATAAGTTTAATTATGGTTGAACTGGGGCAGTAGTAATTATATTAAATAACAAAACTAAGAGAAATACAATAACTAATAACAGTAATAATACACTTGCAGTAAAACTAGACATGTGACAGTAAGATGTAGAGCAAACAAGTTAGTAAGTTTTCAGATACATTTTTATTTATATAACAACCTTGCAGTTCCACAGTTCCACAGAATCAGAAAAGTGTGAAGAATATCTTGTAGAATATCTTGTAGTTAATATCTTGTAGAATATCTTGTAGAATATCTAGAACTTACGAACAAAACTCGGTGACGGTTGTTGGAGTTAGTTAGCTTTATTTATAACAACTGTCTTATTCCAAGGAAAGGCGAATCGAAAAAGTGTTAAGTAAAGTGTCCAGAAACAGAGTTGACAAAGTTAAAGTTAAAAGTTAAAAGCTCAGTTCGGAAATGATTAGTACCAACAGCCTCAAAAACACAGCTAGATACCTATTTGCCCCTAAACATGTTTAAAACATGAAAATATCCAATACGACCAAAGACTTACGAGTTACGAGTTATGTAAGAACTATTATAATAATATTATAATATATGTAGACTGTACGTGGACTATTAAAAGGGTTTCTAGAGAAAAATAAAACGTTGCGTAATGACATCAAGTCTCAAGAGGAGAAATAAGGTTAAGTATTAACTAATAATCAAATAATACAGAGGAGCTCAAACAAAGGGAAATATCACGATGTCGAGGAGAGAAGAAGAGAGGATTATCACGAGGGGGGACTAGCAGAGAGGGAGGTACTAAACACAGGCACACAGTGTTATTGGTACCACTTCCCTCACAGAAAAGCACTGTATATATAACTATGATATATATAGTGATATATAGTGATATATAGTGACTACAGCTGTGCTGAGAGTTGTGTTCTAGAACTCTCTGGCGAGGACTATGTGAGTGCTATTTATAGCAGGCTCAGAACCTGGGCCTGTGAAATGGAGTACGGTGAGATCTCGTGCTGTTTAGTAGGGTGTTACTAGTGGTTAGTAGGGTGTTACTCGTGGTTAGTAGGGTGTTACTCGTGGTTAGTAGGGTGTTACTCGTGGTTAGTAGGGTGTTACTCGTGGTTAGTGGGGTGTTACTCGTGGTTAGTGGGGTGTTACTCGTGGTTAGTAGGGTGTTACTCGTGGTTAGTAGGGTGTTACTCGTGGTTAGTAGGGTGTTACTCGTGGTTAGTAGGGTGTTACTCGTGGTTAGTGGGGTGTTACTCGTGGTTAGTAGGGTGTTACTAGTGGTTAGTAGGGTGTTACTAGTGGTTAGTGGGGTGTTACTCGTGGTTAGTGGGGTGTTACTCGTGGTTAGTGGGGTGTTACTAGTGGTTAGTAGGGTGTTACTAGTGGTTAGTGGGGTGTTACTCGTGGTTAGTGGGGTGTTACTAGTGGTTAGTAGGGTGTTACTAGTGGTTAGTGGGGTGTTACTCGTGGTTAGTGGGGTGTTACTAGTGGTTAGTAGGGTGTTACTAGTGGTTAGTGGGGTGTTACTCGTGGTTAGTGGGGTGTTACTCGTGGTTAGTGGGGTGTTACTAGTGGTTAGTAGGGTGTTACTAGTGGTTAGTGGGGTGTTACTCGTGGTTAGTGGGGTGTTACTAGTGGTTAGTAGGGTGTTACTAGTGGTTAGTGGGGTGTTACTCGTGGTTAGTGGGGTGTTACTAGTGGTTAGTAGGGTGTTACTAGTGGTTAGTGGGGTGTTACTCGTGGTTAGTGGGGTGTTACTCGTGGTTAGTGGGGTGTTACTCGTGGTTAGTGGGGTGTTACTCGTGGTTAGTAGGGTGTTACTCGTGGTTAGTGGGGTGTTACTCGTGGTTAGTGGGGTGTTACTCGTGGTTAGTAGGGTGTTACTCGTGGTTAGTAGGGTGCAGTGTTACACGTGGTTAGTGGGGTGTTACTAGTGGTTAGTGGGGTGTTACTCGTGACTTAACAAATCTTATTCCCATAGTCAGTCAGGCGCTCTAGTCTTATAATACTGAGAATCAATCTTAGTCTGAATTGAGAATACTATTACTGGGAATTATTATTGGAAAATATGCGACATGAATAGTTTCTAGAACTATCAGAACACCAGCCGGCAAAACAGAAAACTGAACTCATAAATGAGAGTTGTGATACAACACCAACCAAACCTACAAGGTATAATATCACAAATTAGAGCTTAGGAAACAGGGCAGCTGTGAGAGTGACGTAGCGTACTACTACTATAACTGAAACCAGAGAACTAAGATCAAAACGTCATGCCTTCCCTCTCTGGCAGCTAGACAGCTCAAGACAGAGTGTTTCCGTAGCTACATGAAACTGTTGAGAGGTATGAACAAGCTCTGAGGGTATAAAGTGAGTGGTGAAGCTTCTCGGAATACCTCAGTGAAATTCCATCAGCATTCCTGCGAAAAGGAAAGTACAGTTGGCTGAAGTCCAAGAGACATTTTCCCAGAGTATTAGGACTCATTGTGCTCAGTAGTCTGTATAGATATGCTGTAATTAATATAGTACCGTGAGAGCAAACATCACCTAAAAGAACAGGAGATAGAACTTCCACTAATCATTCTCAAAGAGATCTGATATGTGTACATTTCAGAGCACGTGGGTACTTAATGGTTATTTAAGTAACAAGATCACAAGGAACACAAGGAACACCTGCAGCTAGGAGCTCACTAACATCACTAGAACACAAAACAATGAACCTCTAACTACAACATCTCATTAGGAACCCACCCACAGGGCTGGGGCTCCCAATATGTCACCCTGTCGTTATGCTGCACTCTTCCAAACTTAAGTAGATTAGCAACCACAATATTATGGGGGAGGGAGGGGACCATCCGGTTTATTAGCAGTGATAATGGTGTCATGTCACGTGACATGTCGTCAATGCTCGTGGTAACGTGTAATTGAATGAGAATTCCCAGCTGAATGCAGACAGATAGACAGGAGGGGACAACAGTGACCACTGAAATGATCTAAAGGAAGAGGAGAGAGAAAGCGAGAGAAACAAGTTGAAGTTAGAAGTGAGATTGGGATATAGAGAGGGGTGTTTAGAGAAAGGTGAAAATTGGCTGCTAGAAAATATACGCAAATAGAGATCTAGAGAGTTAAAAATAAGCAGTGTAGCCTGTACAAGAGAAATACTACACGACTGTGTAGTAGTAACTATATAAAAATAATATACATATATCAAGAGATAAAAGCAGATGGTCGTTCTGTAGAATAGATCACAAGAGATGTAGAGATAGAGGTCGGTTAGAGGACATTGCACAGAGACTGTGAGGCGAGGTTAATCTAGTGTATCACAATTTACGGGACCTAATACGTGCACTAGCTGTTGCGCGGGTTAACTACGTCACCAGAGCAGAGTTGAGAGTACTGCACTCAGCTCAATATATTACTATGTTTACAGGTCAAGGATGTAGCAAGAAACGAAAGCCAAAAGCTTTGGGCGGAGCCACTAGTATGGTTCTGCAATAATAAGACGAAAAACGGATAAGATAAACTCTCTTATCGAAATACAGAACTGAGCCTAGAGTTCGTTGAATTGACCTGAGTCAAATTTCTTTAATATAGGTAATATTAGGCAACAATGAGTTAAAATATGTTGCTGGGAGCTACAATCTTTGTTACTAAGCGATTAGCTAGTTTAACAACCCACACAATTAGTGTTAAACATCTCATCCAATTTCAAACAACATCACCGCATCGTGTGAAATTAAACTGCCAGGTAATGTTTCATTGCCATAAATTATCATTGAAGTGTGTGTGAGAAATTGTCGTAATATCGTAAAACACATCCGGAATGGCTTTTAAAACTGAAGGTTAAAAACAGAACGTGAAACTACAGGGAGTCTGTGTAATGAAAGAATAAACTGAACATAGGAATAATGAGACCCACCTTAGTATATATAATACCTTCTTAATGAGACCCACCATATATACCTTCTTGCCAAAAAGAAGAAAGATTTACGTCTACGAGTTACGATGACGTTGTTCTACTCTACACCAAATTTCAAATGATGCTCTGCTACTATCCTCTGCTACTAGGCTAGATGAGAGTTTACTGCCAATTAGAGAAGAATATGAGGTGCTCATGTGGTCAGTAACCAGCGAAATCATCAAATTGGTCACAAAGCAGCGATTCAGGAGCCAAAAGCAAAAGTGAACGGTTTTGCTGGATTGTCAGGAGACATGTCACCACGAGTAAAGATCTCGTGCGTGTTGTTCGGGAGAGAATAAAGGTAATATGGTGATGATCTGTGAGGTGAATAAAGGTGATCAAGGATTACCCCGTGTTTGCTTAGAGCATCAAATTCCGGAGGTTATGTAATATGCATGCTGCAATATGGATATTAAATACCTTCGCCAACCATTTAAGGTTCTTAATTCTTGGTTCCTAGCTCCCGATCATTGGTCGGGCTTTTCGGGCTTTGGTTATGGTAACTAGGTAAGAGGGTTGAAGATTTGTCGAGACTTAATGC